CAGAAGATTAAAAATAAAAAAAAAACTGTACAGTTATATGAATAAAATGTAATATTTTTGAAACTTTAGCAGAGGGAAGGTCTTTCAAGATACGAACTACAGAGGCCTAAGTAGGATGAAATCTGACTTCTAAAGTGGTAACAACTACATCAAGTGCATCTCAGGAAGTAAAAAAACACGCGATGGAATAAAACATATGTTCACAAAAAGATGTGAAGAAGGATATTCACAGCAGCTTTATTCCTCCTAGCCCCAAACCTGGTAAGAGCTCAGGTGTTCAAGAACAAGGCAACAGACCACATGTCATCTGTTCCTACAGTAGAATAATACCTGACTTAATAAAAAGGAAGTTACTGATTATAACTTGGGTCTCAAAAACATTAAGCTGAGCAAAAAAGAAACCAGACACACAAAAAAACACTTATCTGCCTGATTCTATTCAAACTACCAACAAAAACTAATTTACGGTGGGAAAAAAATCAGAACCGAGGTCACCTCTGGGGGTGGGATGGGAGGGATTGCCTGGGAAGGAGCATGAGAGAACTTTCTAGGATGATGGCAATGTTCCTCATCTTGATAGGGGTTTGAGTGACAGCTTTATCCTTGGTCAAAATATAGCAAATGCACACTTAACATTTGTGTTTTATTGTGTGTACCTTTTATCTCAAAAGAGAAAATTCATTAAAAAAAAGAACCAACCCTAAATAATATGTGTGCTGAAGTATTTAGGGATGAGTACGAGGACTATGGTTCACTCTGGAATGCACTGAAAAGTAAGATGGATTAGTGGATGTATGTGTGACGTTAAAAGAAGTATATAGCAAATTGCACAAGGTAGAATCTAGGGGGTGGGTGTACTGGGTTCTCTGTACAATTCTTTCAACTTATCTGTGTGTTTAAAAATATTGATACTACAGGGCGCCTGGGTGGCTCAGTTGGTTAAGCGACTGCCTTCGGCTCAGGTCACGATCCTGGAGTCCCGGGATCGAGTCCCGCATCGGGCTCTCTGCTCAGCAGGGAGCCTGCTTCTCCCTCTGACCCTCCCCCCTCTCATGCTCTCTCTCTCTCATTCTCTCAAATAAATAAATAAATAAAATCTTTAGAAAAAAAAATATTGATACTACAATGTTAGGGGAAAAGAGCAACAGACTAAAAGGAAAGATATTTCCGACATGTTAAGAGATATTTTACTCGTGCTTTATAGAGCTCATCATCAACAGAAAAAATGAAAAACCCCCTTGACTGTAAGCAAAGACCTTGATAAAAAAGGCACATGCCAACAATATCTGAAAAGATCATCCTATTTGTCAATAGAAAAATCTGAATTCGACTAACAATACTACTCCTCCCCCCTCCAGGCAGATACCAACGTGAGAACACTTGGCCGAGAGCGTTCTCACCTGCTGCTGGTGGCTGTGAGTGCAGCCAGGTTGGCGACATCTCCCAACTCTGCTGAAGGGGATACCCCACCTCCCGGTACCACCACCACCAGGCAACCCTCCCGCTTGCTGGCGAGGAGCGGCCAGGCAGCCCTGAAGACCCAGAAATGCCAGAAGAGGGACGCCAGGCAGCAAGCAGCCTATCTGTGCGCACTTGATGCAGAGGTCAGAATGAAGTGGTCACAATGGGAAGATCTAAGACCTACTGCTAAGTCAGAATCACATGCGAATTACGGCATTTGTAGAAGAAGCAAAACCAACGTAATGTAAATAAACACACAGAGCAACGGAAAGGATCTGGAAAAATTCGAACTCTTGTGTTGGTGAGGAAGTAGGACCGGGGATGGGAGCCAAACAAGCTGGGTTTGAAATAAATGCGATCTGAAATAAATGTAGACACACACATATCTATAGTGATGAGACCGTATTTGTGTAGTGCTCGCCTCATTAAAATGAAAAACAAGAACAGATCACCAGCTTAAAACAAAGCTCGGCCCGTCTCACGTTCCCAGCATTTATTTCAGAGCAGAACTAATCAATTATATAATTACTTGTTTTGGATTTTATAGCCTAGACCCCGCAAACCAAGCTTTCATTTCTCTGTCAACCCTTAGACCATTCCCCC